TTCAGAAATGGACCACAGAAATCCAAATGAACCCTTTGCCATGGTATATATCTTTCCGGGCATAGTTTCCAGTTTTTCGGTCTTGTTTGTAATTTATGTAAACATGACTCACAGTTTTTGGCTGTTGCTTGAATGTCTGTGTCCAACTCCGGCCACCAACACATCTGTCAAGCCAATGATTTCATCTTCTACACCTCCATGTGTTCTTTACGCAATTCTTCTGGTACCGTCTTCCGTAGTGGCGGTGGGATTATCAATCGATCGTCGCGACACAATACACCATCCAATTGTACTCACAAATCCTCTCGGTGAGCAAAGAATTGACGTACTTGTGCAATCGTCGAACAGCCCAAAATACAGCCAACGCTTGTTTTTGGGTCTGTGAGTATCCCTTTTCTGCCGCATTGAGTAGACGTGAAATGCAGATCACTGGGCATCCTTCTTGTTCTAATACAGCACCGATTCCGACGTCGGACGCATCGGGGATGAGTGTAGTCGGTTTTGAAGGCGAAAACAGGGTAAGAACAGGACGATCAGTAACGCAGCGAATTAAACCACGTAAGACATCTTCATATCTCACCGACCATTCCCATGCGTCTGAACACTAAGCACGGAAAAGCGGCTGCGCCCTTGTAGCAAAGTTCGGGATAAATCGGGAATAGTACTGTAGGCATCCCATCACGGGTCTCAAATGCGTTTGATCCTTTGGAGATTCGGTGTTAGTCAATGGTTTGAAATGTGTCGGATGAGGATGGTATCCATGGGAATCAGCTGTGAATCCTAGAAACTCCAACTCACTTACTCCAAACACACAATTGGACGGCTTGATAGCCACGTTCCTGGTGAGAAATCGTTCCAGTAGCTGCGTAAGACGGGTATCGTGTTCTTTCTTATTAAGGCCGAAAATGAGGACGTCATCTTGATATTCAAGCACACCGTCGAGTCCTTTGATTATGCTGTCAATTGCCGATTGAAAGAGGCCAGACTACACATGCAACCCGAATGGGAGAAAATTTTACTGGTACATTCCCCACGGCGTGTTTATTGTTGTCAAGTAGCGAGACTCAACATCGAGTGGAATCTGTAGGTATGCGTCCGCCAAATCGATCTTGGAGAAATACTGGCAACCATGCAACTTCATGAAATCCTCTGGTTCCATGGTGGTCGCTGCACATCTCCGCAATCTGGGANCTCCACAGATCCGTGGTGTCCTACCATCACTTTTCATCGCCACGACGATCGGGGTCGCCCCGGCACTGGATTCAACTTTGCTTATCACACCATCCTGCTCCATTTTCTGTAATGCTTTCAGGACACCTTCCCGTTGACCGTATGGGAGGACGCGTCGTTCTAGAAAAACAGATTTACCGTCCACTTCCAACTTTACCGACAGTACTTTCATGCCACCAACGTTACCGGAACACTGTACAATCAAATGTTGAAGATGTGGGTTGATTGGTATATCGTTGTTGGTATGTAGTGTGATGGATCCTTGTAGTAGCCGTATTGCTCGAAGGCCAAGAATAGACGGACTGTGAGCTGATACCAGGACTCGAATTGGGATTGACAAACCGGATTCAGATTGAACGCAGAACATTGTTTCACCAATTGATTGCAACTGATGGCCAGTAGCTCCATGAATGCGCACAGAAGTCGGGGCTAGAACAGCATTAGGACAGATCGC